ACCTACGTGGACGCTGTCCCCCCTCCTGGGGCGAACATCGTCAGTGGCATGTGGATTTTCAGGGTGAAGCGGCCGCCGGGTTCTCCGCCTGTCTTCAAGGCGCGTTACGTGGCTCGTGGCTTCAGTCAGCGGCAGGGGGTTGACTACTTTCAGACCTTCTCCCCCACCCCGAAGATGACCACTCTTCGGGTTCTGCTGCACGTTGCTGCTCACCGTGACTACGAGCTGCACTCTCTCGACTTCAGCACAGCTTTCTTGCAGGGGAGTCTGCACGAGGAGATCTGGCTGCGCCGCCCACCTGGCTTCACTGGGTCTTTCCCTCCTGGTACCCAGTGGAGTCTCCGGCGTCCAGTCTACGGTCTCCGCCAGGCGCCACGTGAGTGGCACGACACACTGAGGACTACGCTCGCGGCACTTGGGTTTGCTCCGTCTACTGCCGACCCGTCGCTGTTTCTGCGCACCGACACCTCTCTGCCGCCGTTCTACATCCTCGTGTACGTCGACGACTTGGTCTTTGCCACAGCTGACACTGCTGGACTCGCCTACGTGAAGTCCGAGCTGCAGAAGAGACACACGTGCACTGACCTGGGTGAACTGCGCAGCTACCTTGGCTTGCAGATCACCTGGGACAGAGCACGCCGCACCATTACCCTGACTCAGTCACACATGGTGCAGCAGGTCCTTCAGCGCTTCGGCTTCACGTACTCCTCGCCTCAGGCCACTCCTCTGCCTACTCGCCACTCACTCTCAGCTCTGCCTTCGGATGAGTCCGTAGAGTCGAGTGGCCCGTATGCAGAGCTTGTTGGCTGCCTCATGTACCTGATGACCTGCACTCGACCTGACCTTGCATACCCTCTTAGCATTCTCGCACGCTATGTTGCTCCTGGGAGACACCGACCAGAGCACATGGCTGCAGCGAAGAGGGTGTTGCGCTACTTGTGCAGTACGTCAGGCATGGGGCTAGTGCTTGGAGGGCGCAGTCCAGTGGTCCTCACTGGGCACGCAGACGCTTCTTGGGCTGATGACTAGGCTACGCAGCGGTCGTCACAGGGTTACACCTTCAGCCTTGGTTCCGGCTCTGTTTCGTGGCGGGCTACCCGCTCGTCTTCTGTTCTCGGCTCCAGTTGTGAGGCTGAGATCTACGCTGGGGCTATGGCTGCACAGGAGTTACGCTGGCTCACCTACCTGCTGACCGACCTTGGAGAGCAGCCTCGTTCTCCTCCAGTCCTGTACGTAGACAACAAGGCCATGCTGGCCTTGTGTCGAGAGCAGAGACTGGAGCACAGGACAAAGCACATTGCTCTCCGCTACTTTCTTGCTCGTGAGCTACAGCAGCGTGGACAGTTGCGACTTGCGTACGTGGCCTCTGAGGCCAACACTGCTGATGTGTTCACCAAGGCACTTGCGCCTTGTGATCATCAGCGTTGCTGCACGCAGCTGGGTCTTGTGTCTGTCTTGCCTCACTTGCTCACTTCTTGACCTTCCTTGTACCGTCACATATATATAGTCTTGCTCTTGCTTGCTTGACTCTTGTATATCTCTATATATATGATCCTGCATGTGAACTGGCCTTGTGGCCCATGAACTTGTGCTCGGAATGTGTGGTGACTTTGTGATCCACCCTGAGCTTTGCTTTGCTTTGCTTGACTGGTCTTGTGACCCCTTGTTCTCCCCCACTTTGCCTATGGGGGTGTGTCAGAACATTATAGCTTACTTATTTGTGTAGGCTATAGTGGGGTATCCCATAGGGGGTACAACCCAGTTAGGGTTTCCTATTTGTACTCACTTCGTTCATAGTTCACACATTCTCTCGTTCACTTCTTCACACACCTACCTTCTGACCAACTTGGGAGAGCCGCCTCGTTCTCCTCCAGTTCTATACGTCGACAACAAGGCCATGATTGCCTTGTGTCAGGAGCAGAGAGTGGAGGACAGAATGAAGCACATCGCTCTGCGCTACTTCCTTGCTCGAGAGTTCCAGCAGCATGGTCAACTTCGTCTTGTTTACGTGGCCTCTTAGGCCAACACTGCTGATATCTTCACCAAAGCACTTCAGCCTTGTGATCATCAGCGTTTCTGTACTGTTTCAGGCCTTGTGCCTATTTTGCCTCACTTGCTCACTTCTGGACTTTGCCTGTACTGTGATCTATGTACTTATACCTGCATGCTTATACTTGGTAGGTTGTGATCACTGTATTGCTTGTTCTCCTATACATGTATAACACTGCATGTGAACTGGCCTTGTGGCCTTTTTGCTTGTGCTCAGAATGTGTGGTGACTTCGTGATCCACCCTGAGCTTGCTTTGCCTTTCGTGACGGTCTTGTGACCCCTTGTTCTCCCCCACTTAGCCTATGGGGGTGTGTCAAACTTATATGCGGCATATTGTGTAGGCTGTAGTGGGGTATCCTATATGGGGTACAACCCAATTAGGGTTTACTACTTGTACCCATCCTGCTTCTAGTTCATTCATTCTTTGTCCTAGTTTCTGACAGTTAGACGGACAGTGGAGATCTACGATGTGAAGCACGAGTGGCAAGCACAGAAATTTTTTTACGGCTGAGAAGGCAGCTTGCTCTTTCTCCCCCCACGTGTACTCAACCCCCTTCCTCAGCAAGTCGGTCAACGGGGCTGTCAACTGCGCCATGTTGGGGACAAACCGTTGAACGTAGTTGACAAACCCTAGAAAACTTTGCAACTAGGTCAAATTGGTCTGTGCGTGCTAGGCTTGAATTGTCACGATCTTTTTTTGGGTCTATTTCCACTCCGTTGGCTGAAATAACGTGCCTAAAAAACTCCAGTCTGTCCTGTAAAAGCTCACACTTAGAGGCTTTGGTCAGTAGGCGGTTCTTACTCGGTATTTTAAAAACTGCTTCATTGTCTTCTAGGTGTTGTGCTCTGTCTGGGCTGTAGATTAGTATCTCGTCTAAGTAGACAATTACGCACTTATCTAAGAGCGGACGGAAGGCTTCGTTTATGGTCATTCGGAAGGTGGTTTAGTTCAAAGGGCATCACGGTGTATTTGAAAGATCCATAGCGGGTGTGGAAGGCGTTTTTTGGGAAGTCGGGCGGGTTGACTCGGATCTGGTGGTAACCCCCTCGAAGGTCGATCGTTGAACAGACTCAAGAGGTGCGAAGCTGGTCTATAAGTTCGTCGGCTCACGGAATGGGGTAACGGGACTTGATCGTAACCCTGTTCAGTCCGCGGCAATATATGCACATGCGAAAACCGCCGTCCTTTTTCGGTGTGAACTGTATGGGTGCTGTGAAAGGTGGCGAACTCAGGCGAGTGAGCTTTCTCTCGAGCAGATAATTCAGCCGCTTTCACAGTTCATCTAGTTCGGGTTGGGTCAGCCGGCACTGTCGCCGCACTGTCGGCTATGCCCCTGGTTCTAATTTTATCATGTGGTCGTGCGGTTGCTTAGGTGGCAATCCCTCCGGTAGGTCATCCGGAAATATGCGTGCAGGTGTCACCTTCAGTAGCGGTGCCAAGTCATCCGGTACGTCGGCGAGCAAATTCTGCAAATTGCCTGGCTAGTCTGCTACTTCAATTTCTCGAATGTCAACCGTGTTCACACCAGCTCCTACCGATACGGCGCGTTTCACAGTGACCGCGGTGACACACACCGACGAAGACCCAGGCGAGCTCCAGCGAGGTAGGGCGATGTGTCAGAACTATATTGTAGGCTGTAGTGGGGCACTCCTTAAGGGGTACAATACTGTTAGGTTTTGCCTATACAAACCTTGAATTGTTCTGTCCTGTTTCTAGTCATTCTCGTTTCCTACTTTGTGACATGGTTTCAGAGCAGGTTCCCTAGTGGGAACGTTTTTTTTTTTAGGGCCCACCGTGTTAGTTTTTTTTTTTACTGCCCTGCCCAAAGCGCGCATCGCACCTGCCTCGCCTGCGCCGTCGCGCGCCCTGCCCTAGTGCCGCCCTTAGCGGCCCTGCCCTGTCAGAACTTATATTTGTAACTGCCTGTAGCTGTAGTTAGTGTAGTTATTATAAACTTAGTTTGGTGGTGCACCTTCATTGTTTCCTATGCTTTATGTTCCTTGAAACCTATAGTGAAATCATTCTTCCCAATTCTCTCGATCCTCACCCTTGGCACAAAACTACTCGATATCCTAGTTGGGCCTAGGCTCCTAAGCCTAGGCCCTAGTAAAACTTAGTTCATTCTCGCTCACCTCGATATGCCCTTGCGGCCCGTCGCGCCCTTACCCCAACGGCCCTTTGAGGCCCTTTTCTCGCCGCGGCGGCCCGCCCTAGCCATCGTCGCCGCCCTTAGCGGCCCGCCTCAGTCGTCGTCGCGGCCGTGCCCTACCCGCCTGCTGCGGCCTGCTTTCGTCGCCAGCACGGCCCTTCCCTGCCGCCTCTCGTCGCGGCCCCTGCTTTGCCGCGGCCTCGACGCGGCCCTCCCCTGCAGCCGCCGTGACGCGGCCCTGCCCTACTGCCGCCCGGTCGCGGCCCTACTCTCCTGCCGCCTAGTCGCGGCCCTGCCCTGCCGCCAAGTCGCGACCCTGCCCTGCCGCCTCGTTGCGGCCCCTTCCTTGCCGGCTCGTCGCGGCCCCTGCCCTGCCGGTCGCGGCCCTGCCCTGCCGCCAAGTCGCGGCCTTGCCCTGCCGCCTCGTTGCGGCCCCTTCCTTGCCAGCTCGTCGCGGCCCCTGCCCTGCCAGTCGCGGCCCTGCCCTGCCGCCAAGTCGCGGCCCTACCCTGCCGCCTCGTTCCGGCCCCTTCCCTGCCGGCTCGTCGCGGCCCCTGCCCTGCCAATCGCGGCCCTGCCCTACTCCCGCCCCTGGTAAGTGCACCGCCGCACCCGCGCCGCCCTGCTGAGCCGTGTAGCCCTGCCGAGCCGCGCCGCCCTGCTGAATTGCTACTGCTGCTACTGCTGCTGCAGCTACTGCTACTGCTATTGCCGCCATGGCTAACCCTAGTGTTCTTACCTTCGATGCTGAGGGTCGAGCGGTTGATTTCGAGGTCTGGGTCGATGACCTCCAGCTCTTTATGCAGTGCGACTCTAGGGACGGAGTCTCACTATTCGATCACACGTCCGGCATCTCTCTTGCACCTGCTGCCGAAGCTGACAGTGCAGTTTGCTCACAGTGGACCACGTGTGATGCAGCTGCTCGTTTTGCTGTTCGTACTCACCTGCCGTCTGCCGAGCGCGCGCACTTTAGCCAGTACAAGACTACTAAGACTCTGTATGACGCTGTTGTTGCGAGCTACTCCTCCCTTGCCTCTGCTGCCCTCAGCCGCCTCATGCTGCCGTACCTGTTCCCTGACCTCGCCGCTTTTGCCACAGTCACTGACCTCATTACCCACCTCCGCACCAGTGACACCCGCTACCACGCTGCAATTCCAGCCGAGTTCTGCGCCAAGAACCCCCCCCCCCCCTATGTACATCACCCTCTTTTACCTCGTCACCTGGCTCCCTGACTCCCTTCGCACTCAGGGACCACTTCTTCTCCCTTTGCCCCACCACGCTCACCATTGACCTCCTCGAGGAGCGCCTCCTTGCATCTGAGAAGAGTATAGTCGCTGTAGGAGCCTCTCGTGGTGACCCTCATGCCCCTTTCTTTGAGGGGTGCTCCCCTGTCCCCCTTCTGCCCTCTGTTGCCTCTGCTGCTGCTGACGACCTCGTTGGCACCGAGTCGGCCGGAGCTGCGTCTGCTCCTAGTGGGAGACGCCGCAGCGGCAAGGGCAAGGGGGGGCAAGGTTGGTGGAGGGGACGGCGGGGGCGGCGGTGGTGGCGACAGTGGTGGCGGTGGAGGAGGTGGAGGGGGTGGGGGTGGAGGTGGGGGTGGCGGCGGGAGTGGGGGCTTCGGTGGCGGTGGTGGAGGTGGAGGCGACGGCGGCAGCGGCAGTGGGGGTGGAGGCGGCGGTGGTGCTGGTCGAGGTGGAGCTGTGCAGCGGGGAGGCTTTGGCGGTGGCCATCGCCAGCAGCAGCAGCGTTCTCGTGAGACCCCGTCGCCCTAGCAGCTTCGTGAGTGGTACGCTGGGCGTGGGAGGTCTAGGGGTGCTGGTCCCTGCGCTTACGTTCTCCGCACCGGTGAGCGCAGTGGGGAGACATGCGGGCTGCCGCACGCCACGCACCGCTGCTTCGACCGCCTGACTGACGCTTGGCGTTCACAGTTTCCTGACGCCACTGAGCTCCCTCGCTGGGGTGATCCGCTTAGGTCGGGGGTTGCTATCTTTTATCTTGATTATGATGCTATCCTTGCTGCTATGTATGCTCTGACTATTAGTGCTGAGGGTGACTGTTACCTGTGAGTTCTGCCTGACCCGGGCATTGAAGCTGCTGCTCTAGGTGCTAGTGAGTCCGCTGCTCGAGGTGCCGGTGAGGCTGCTCTCTCAGGTACCGCGTCGGCTCGGGCCTTACACACTTTCACCCATGACTCAGGTGCTTCCCGTTCCTTCTTTCGCGACTGCACCACACTCACGCCGCTCAGTCGGCCAGTGGCAGTCTCCCTAGCTGACCCCTCTGGGGGTCCGGTCCTTGCGCACTCCTCCACGGTTCTGCCGTGTCCAGCGGTCCCGTCTGGCTCCCTGTCCGGTCTCCACCTCCCCTCATTCTCCACGAACTTGGTGAGTGGAGCTGACCTTCAGGACGTATGGGTTGACCAGTTCACTCCTGGAGGTCAGCGGGTGACCCACTATACGTGTACACAGACGGGCCGACACTTGGCCACGTTTACTTGTTAGCCTGGGTCAAGCCTGTAAACCCTGACTACCGTGTCTCCTCGTGTTACTGCGTCTGGTCAGGTGTTTGCTGCAGCGTCCCGGTCTGGTCCTGAGTCTGCCCCCTGCTCGTGTCACCTCCTGTCTCACCAGACTCTCCTCTGGCACCACCGCCTTGGTCACCCCTCCTGCCTTGTCTCCGATGTATGGCCTCTCGTGTCCTTGTCACTGGTCTTCCCCGGTCTCTCCCTCCCCTTCCCCCAAGGCCTGCCCGTACCTGCATTCCTTGCGTCGAGGGGCGGCAACGCGCCGCTCCTCACTCCTCCGAGTTCCCTCCGACGGAGGCTCCCCAACAGACTCTTCATATGGATGTGTGGGGCCCAGCCCGCGTCCGTGGACAGGGACACGAGCAATACTTTCTGCTGGTCGTTAACGACTACTCGCGTTACACCACAATCTTCCCCTTGCGCCGCAAGGGTGAGGTCACTAATGTGCTGATCGACTGGACCCGCGCTGCCCGTCGCCAGCTCAGCGAGAGTTTCGGCTCGGACCTTCCTGTTCTGCGTCTGCACTCAGACAGAGGTGGAGAGTTTTCCTCCGACCTTCTGAGGGTCTTTTGACGTGCGGAGGGCATCTGCCAGACGTTCACGCTTCTGGCCTCTCCACAGCAAAATGGGATTGATGAGCGCCGCATTGGCATGGTCATGGACGTCGCTCGTACGTCCATGATTCATGCGGTTGCTCCCCATTTTCTGTGGCCGTTCGCGGTTCAGTATGCTGCGCATCAGCTCAACCTCCTGCCCCATGTCTCCATGCCGAAGACTACACCTACTCTGCGGAGGACGGGGAAGGTTGGCGATGCGTTTGCGTTCCGTGTCTGGGGATCTCGAGCTTTTGTCCGCGATTTGTCTGCAGACAAGCTGTCCTCCCGTGCTGTTCCCTGCGTCTTTCTTGGTTTCCCGCCTGACGTGCCTAATTGGCAGTTTTACCACCCCACCTCGCGCCGTGTTCTGTCCTCTCAGGACATCAAGTTTGACGAGTCGGTTCCTTACTACCGTCTCTTCCCCAACCGCATTGCCCCCCTCCCCCCCCCCCCCGCCGCTCTTTCTCGCGCTAGGTCCTCCTCCGGTAGACCCCCTTCCCCCTCAGGTGTGTCCCAAGTAGACGCAGTCGAGCCTGTCGAGGTAGCTGTTGACTCTGGTGCTGCTAGGGGTGCTGAGCCTACGGGTGCCGAGTCTCGGGGTGCTGAGCTAGGGGGTGCTGAGTCTGGGGGTGCTGAGCCTGGGGGTGCTGAGCCTGAGCGTGCGGAGCCTGGGGGTACTGAGTCTGGGGGTGCTGAGCCTGGGGGTACTGAGCCTGGGGTTGCTGGGTCTGAGGGTGCGGAGCCTGCGGGTACTGCGTCTGCGCGTGTGGAGCCTAGGGGTGCTGAGCCAGGAGGTCCTTCGGGTGTCTCATCCCGGCGGGAGCCACTCTCTCCACATCAGCTGCTCGAGTGGTTTGCTCGCCGCTAGAGCCGTGCTGCTGGTGCTAGTGGTGCTACTGGAGCTGGAGGTCCTGCTGCTGCTGGAACTGCTGGGGGTTCTGGAGCCACTGGTCCCGGAGGTGCTTGTACTAGAGTTACTGGAGCTGCTGGGCCTGGTGGTGCTGCTGGCGCTGGAGCTGCTGGAGGTGCTGGCGCTGGTGGTGCTGCTGGAGCAGGTGCGGCTGGAGGTGCTGGAGCTGGCGCTACTAGAGCTGCTGGGACTTCTGGTGGTCATGATGGAGTTGGGGCTGCTGGGGGTGCTAGAGTTGGTGCTGCTGGAGCTGGTGCAGGTGCTACTGGAGCTGGTGGAGCTGTAGGAGTTGGAGCTGACGCGGGGGGTGCTGGTGCTGTCTCTGCTGGTTCTGGTGGTGCTGCATGGCCACGGCCGTACTTCGTTCCACTCCTTCAGCAGGTTCTTGGACTCCCGCCTTCTACTCGTCCAGCTCCTTCCTTAGAGTGTCCACCGCATGCCCAGTCGCAGTCACAGTTAAAGCCCGCCTCCCCACTGCCTGCTCCTTCTCCTTACACTTGTCCGACCGGAGGTCTTGCTGAGCGTTGTGAGCCTACGTCTCGCCCTGCGTGGCCTGTTCCCGCTGCTCGCACTGGTCGTCGTGGTTCGCGTCAACGTCCTCCTCCAGTCCCCCGCACGCACCAGAAGGCAGTGCGTCCTTCCACTTCTCCGCAGCGTGTCCCTCTGCCGTCTCCTCCTGCGTCCTCCCTTCCTGCCGGTCCGGACCCGGAGTCTGACTCCCTTCATGCTACTAGTCCTACTGTCACGCGTCTTCTGGCCACTGTTGTCACTGACCCTTCCTTTGCGTCTACTGCTACGTCTGCTCTTGTTGCTGAGCTTGTCGACTTTGCTGCCCACTGTCGTCTAGACTACGCCGCTAGTCTTGTTGCTGAGTCTGAGTCTGTGTGTCCTCCGTCCGTCCTAGGTGGGTGTGCTCTTAGCACGGACGTCCTTGAGGACAGGCAAGAGGAGTTCCAGTGTTTTGCTGCTGCTTTACCTCATCTCGTGTCCATGCTGGTTGCCCCTGAGGGAGACCCGGATGCACCAGACATCCCAACCCCGCGCTCTTACGCAGAGGCGATAGAGGGTTCCTACTCCTCTCAGTGGCAGACAGCCATGGACGCAGAGATGGCTTCCTGGAAGTCCACAGGCACTTACGTTGACGAGGTTCTCCAACCTGGGGCGAACATTGTCGATGGCATGTGGATTTTCAGGGTGAAGCGGTCGTCGGGTTCTCCGCCTGTCTTCAAGGCGCGTTACGTTGCTCGAGGCTTCAGTCAGCGACAGGGAGTTGACCACTTTCATACCTTCTCCTCCACCCCGAAGATGACCACTCTTCGGGTACTGCTGCACGTCGCCGCTCAGTGTGACTACGAGCTTCGCTCTCTTGACTTCAGCACAGCCTCTCGATAGGGCAGCCTGCACGATGAGATATGGCTGCGCCGCCCACCTGGCTTCACTGGGTCTTTTCCTCCTGGTACCCAGTGGAGCCTCCGGCGGCTTGTCTACGGTCTCCGCCAGGCGCCCCGTGAGTGGCACGACACACTGAGAACTACGCTTGCGGCTCTTGGGTTTGCTCCTTCCACTGCTGACCCGTCGCTGTTTCTTCGCACCGACACTTCGTGGCCGCCATTCTACATCCTCGTGTACGTCGACGACTTAGTCTTTGCTACTGCTGACACTGAGGGACTCACCCACGTGAATTCGGAGCTGCAGAAGAGACACACGTGCACAGACCTGGGTGAACTGCGCAGCTATCTTGGCTTGCAGATCACCCGGGACAGAGCACGGCGCACCATTACCTTGACTCAGTCACACATGGTGCAGCAAGTCCTTCAGCGCTTCAACTTCACGTACTCCTTGCCTCATGCCACTCATCTGTCTACTCGCCACTCGCTCTTAGCTCTGCCTTCGGATGAGTCCGTAGAGCCGAGTGGCCCGTACCCAGAGCTTGTGGGCTGCCTCATGTATCTGATGACCTGCACTCGACCTTACCTGGCATACCCTCTTAGCATCCTAGCACGCTATGTTGCTCCTGGGAGACACCGACCAGAGCACATGGATGCAGCTAAGACGGTGTTGCGCTACTTGTGCAGTACGTCGGGCATGGGGCTCGTGCTTGGAGGACGGGCTTGAGTTGTCCTCAATGGTCACGCAGACGCTTCTTGTGTTGACGACTTGGCTACGCAGCGGTCGTCATGTCAGAATGTTATTCTCTAGCCTGTAGTGGGGTGCTCTATAGCGAGTACAACCCATCTAGGGTCTGCTATATGTATCCTCATTGCTGCTAGTGAAACCCCTCCTCCTTTGCCTAAACTTTCACTTGCCTCGCTAGGGCTTACCTAGCTATGGCTCCTCGTTCTAGCCTTAATCTTAACACGCCACGGGGTTACACCTTCAGCCTTGGTTCCGGCTCCGTTTCGTGGCGGTCTACCCGCTCGTCTTCTGTTCTTAGCTCCAGTTGGGAGGCTGAGATCTACGCTGGGGTCATGGCTGCACAGGAGTTACGTTGGCTTACCTACCTGTTGACCGACTTGGGAGAGGCGCCTCGTTCTCCTCCAGTTCTGTACGTCGACAACAAGGCCATGATTGCCTTGTGTTAGGAGCACAGAACGAAGCACATTGCTCTGCGCTACTTCCTTGCTTGGAAGTTGCAGCAGCGTGGTCAGCTTCGTCTTGCTTACGTGGCCACTCGGGCCAACACTGCTGATATCTTTACCAAGGCACTTCAGCCTTGTGATCATCAGCGTTTTTGTACTCTGTTAGGTCTTGTGCCTACCTGGCCTCACTTGCTCACCTCTTGACTTTGCTTGTACTATGATCTTTATATACCTGCACCTGCATGCTTACACTTGCTAGGTTGTGATCACTGTACTACTTGTTCTCCTCTTTATATAACTCTGCATGTGAACTGGCCTTGTGGCCTTTTGTTTGTGCTCAGAATGCGTGGTGACGTCGTGATCCACCCTGAGCTTGACCTTTGCTTTGTTCTTTTGCTTGTCCCCCACTTTGCCTATCGGGGTGTGTCAGAACTATATTGTAGGCTGTAGTGGGGCACTCTTTATGGGATACAGTACTGTTAGGTTTTGCCTATACAAACCTTGTACTGTCCTGTTTCTAGTCATTCTCGTTTCCTACTTTGTGACACAATGTTATTATCGTTCACTCGCACAGTGCAGTCACCCGTTGTCCAGTCGATTCGTGGGTTGTGTCGTCACAACCAATCATGGCCGAGTAAAAATCGGTCCCGTCGAAGGTCGTCGCCAGCATTTCCTGTGGAAACGTGAAGCTACCCGCAACAAATCCGAACTCGGTATACGCGTTCCCGTGTCGCCAGTGGTGTGCCGTCCACCATTATCGCGTCAATCTCAGATAAGCATCTGTTGAGTGTTAGTTTTGGTCTCCGTGCATTGGCGGTATTGCTCGGGTTGTGGCTAGCCCCCCCGTCTACAAAGATTTTAACTAAGCTGGTGTGAATTTTCCCGCTAAATAGTATGGGGTTGTCTAACGTCAGAGGTCTTCTGGTGATCCCTGATTGATCCTAGGGAAGGGTTACATGCATGTTGGCCTGGGGGGTTATGGGCGCACTTACGCGCTACTTAACTAGCCCTTTTATCCCAGTGGTCTACTGACTGGGATTCTAACATGGTATCAGAGCAAAGGTCTCAGGTTTGAATCCCAGTGTGTGTACTTCAAGCATCCCAGTGCAGGGGGGTGTCAGAGGTCCACTGGTGATCCCCGATTGATCCTAGGGAACGGTTACAGGCATGTTGGCCTAGGGAGGTTATTGGCGCACTGACCCGCTACTTAACAAGCATTTTTATCCTAGTGGTCAAGTGACTGGGATTCTGACAGTACCCTCTTTCTTCCGCCGGGTGTGGTCGATTGCATGAACTGGCACAATCACTCGGTGAGGGTCGGTTGGGTTGGGTGAGCGGCATGACCTGTCAGTAGAGGGCCCGTCTGCTACTAACTCCTAGTGTTTCCCTACTCCTTGGTCTGTTTCTGCAGCCCGTCTCCCTCTTTCCCCTGGCGTTTTCCGGGCATTCGCTCTCACTGTGCCCCGGCCTGTTGCACGCAAAGCAGCGCCCTTTGACCGGTGCGATAGCGGCATTTGCGGCGACGATACATATCGTGGCGTGCACGTTCATCCCCAGCTGCTGCTGTTGCCGTAGGACCCCGGTCTCGGTCGGCGAAGAAAATCAAGCTTTTCTGCCATGGCGAGGATGTCGTTGAACTCCGTGACGTTGCGGAGCAAGATTTTCGGCGCAAGCATTTTCGCCTTTCAAGCTACCGACATCAATTGATGCGCTCGGCTTCATGCATGTATCCCACCTGCTCGCAGAGTGCCATAAAACCGCCAGTTTAGTCTTGGACGGAACCGAGCTGGCGCCAAGTGCGGAGCTTCTGTCGCGTTGCGATCGACGCCGCGATCGGATTGAATCTCGCGCGCAGACCTACGCACCACGCGTCCCACAACGATGTCGTGCTCCTTGTGCTCGTGTGCCTTGCATTTGTAATTGTACTCGTTGCGCCCGTGTGACATCGTTTTGCAGTGCCGTATGTTATGCCGTTAATGCAGCAATTTCTTTGCTGCTTTCGCGCAGTTGGCGTGTCAGCTCGTCAAGGCGCTCCTGCTAGAGTGTCGTAAGGTGAATACGTTAATCCATGTCGAAGGGCGGCGACCGGTCTAGGTGCTAGGCGTACTCGTGGTTGCACACGTTTACGCGAGGACGCGAGGACAGCGGCTCCTAGTACGCTAAGGGGTGCGAGTCCCTTCGAGTGGAAATCACAAGTTGGGTTCTGTTGGTTGCGGAAAACAAAAATGCGCGGTCCGAAAGGCAAGTGGCTCTGATAGCCAAATGTTACAGGTGCAATGAATCAAAGTAGCGAGAATTGCATTGTGTCAAACGAGTACAAAGTATGAGCAAAGGCATGAGCAAATACTTATACGAAAACATGCAAACGGCTATGCGGTGCGTGCGAGCTAGCTAGTGCGATGCTGACATTGTAGTTCGGGCTAGCCTCGAAGCATGGGCCGGCCCGGCCTGGCCAGCGATGCATGGTTTGGCAAATGCAGCGCGCGAAGGTTGGCGAAGCCCCGTTAGCAGTAATGGGCGAACAACAGTTGCTTCTGTACGCGATGTTGAAGCTTGCAGTAAGGAATGTCGGAAAAAAATTTACAATGCTTGAGAATGTAAAAGAGACAATGTTGTTAGTACACTTTTCCATACGAGTACTTGAAGTTGAAGCATACGCGCTTCAACTATCACAAACCTGTGGCTTGCGTTATAGGACCACGGTTTCGTCTGTTGCGTTACGGTCCAAAACGGTGTGTAGCCGTTGCCATTCATACCGTGTGAAAACCCTTCAAACCGCACTAAAAGGTCGGCAACACTCTGGCGCAACGCATACTCATATTTCTTCTTCCATCGTCCAGTGCTTCTTTCTCTTCCCTGTCCTGCTGTTTTCTGAGCTTCTCCTCGAGCAGGATCAGCGATCCGGGATTCTTCACCTGTCCGCAAGTCCTGATCTCACGTAGTCTGCCTTGCAATCTACGATCCTCGCACATCTATTTGTCTTTTACTCGTTTAGAACCATGAGCGGAGACGAGAAGAAGATGGACCTGTCAGATATCGCTGCTGCTCTTCCTTCAGGTAATTTTCCGTTATTTGTTTCCCTCCTCCTGCGTTTTGGTGTTGCTTTTGTAACACGTCGTGCCGACGTCGATCTAGGCTAGTCTACAAATGATACGTCGAACGCGAAATGATATCATCCCATGTTCCGTGGCGTGGATTTGTCACTTTTATGATGATTTCGCCCTCGTTGTTGTCTTGACATAATCGTCGAATTCTTCGGTCTACTTTCTATCGTTTCAGGGGGAGCGGGGTTAACCGACGAAGCTCGCGCCGAATTGGTCAGCTCGATCCAGGTGAATGAAGTACCAAAAAACTTATAGAATTGTTGAAAATGAATGAGGATATTTTGAAATGAGTTTGAATAAACGAAGTAAATTTAGAAGCATAGTAACGGGATGAGAAACACGCGATCTGGCCACCACAACACGATCATTGGCGCAGGATTCAGGAATGGTGAGGAATATAATTTGATTTTGGAAATCAAGCCTTAGGGTTTTCAAGCATGGTTCTCAAGAAGATTATTTATGCTTGTTGATGACGCAAGATGTGATCGCATCTCACCCATCTGATAGTTTGTTTCTTTCGGCTACCTCTTTGCTTTATCATCTTGTTCCCTGCTCACCTACGTGATGTCTTTGTTTTTCGTCTAAATTTCTTCGATTGCCGTGGCAGGACAAACTGGAAACCCTCATGACGCAAAACTTCCTCGCCGGCCTCTCGCCAGCTGTCCGCACACGTGTCACTGCTCTACAGGAGATCCAGGTGCGGATCCTCTTAGCGGCCGAAGTGATCGTTACTTCGTTTGTCGTTACTCGTACCGTTGTTTGTCACATGTTGGGAATAACATGAATCATGCTGGTGCCTCATGCAACTCGTTTAAAAAATATTATATATATATATATATATATATATATATATATATATATAGGTCGTCTCTGAACGCGCTAGGTTTGGATCCGCGCCGACGCTGCAGCAATCGCGTGAGGTTTTGCAGGGAGGATTATGTGCTCTCAGAGTAACTATGGCTTTCAAAGCGTGAAGGCGAAGCGTAAGCAAAAGGCCGCTTTTTACGACAAGACTAAAGAGATCAACGAGAAAGATTCAAAGGAGAAGACCGCTGTTGATCGTGTGATGGTGTGCGGTTTTTTCCTCCTCGAACCCCACATAACCCTATCTCCTCTACCACTTCTTTGTTCCGTGCAGAAGGAGCAGTGTCTCGAGGATAAGAGAGGGCAATGATGTGAAAGCGTCCGTCCACCCACCCCTCCCCTCCACCTTCCTCCCCCAACACTTCCCCCATCCGTTCCTGTGGTGGGTGCAGAAATCGCTCGACGAGCGCAAGGAGAAGGCGGAACTGTGATGTTAAGTCCCTCGGGATGCGCCTTCATCGTCCCTCCGCCCTTCTTCCGTGTCCCCTCCCCCCCCGGTTCCCCTCCTGTGTTCCTGTGCTGGGAGCAGAAATCGCACGACGAGCTCAAGGAGAAGTTTCTGGAGGAGAAGGCGGCTCTCGAGGCCAAGTACCAGAAGCTGTACGAGCCGCTCTATAATCAGGTGAGGATCTACTCTATAACGCGTATCGTTTAGACGTTCCTTAGAAGGCGGCCTTGGAGGCCAAGTACCGGAAGCTGTACGAGCGCTCTACAACTAGGTGAGGATAGATTGTTGTGCTGCTGCTCGCTATAACGCGTATCGTTTTGAGGTGCTTTAAAAGGTGGTTCACAACCAAGTGGGGATAAACGGCCGCGGCTTCTGCTCGTTGTAATGCGGATTAAATTCGGCCATGAACCTCGTTCCGCTTGTGGATCTTTCACCCCTCTGCAAATCCTGACCCTCAATTACCCCCTCGGTAAACCCTGACCCTCTGTGTAGGGCCCCACCCGCTGTAAACCCTGACCTTCGGTTAATTTTTACCCTCCGTAACTCCCTCTAATCCTGTTCAACCTCCACGCTCTTCAGCCTCTCACATCCTTTAACCCCCCTCTCACCCTCGTTACCTCCAGCGCTCTGAGATTGTGGCGGGAGACAAGGAGCCGGAAGGCGCTGAGGCCCCCGCTGCTGAGGCCGGAGCCGAGGTTGAGAAGGGTGAGTTGCGGCTGAGCTCGGTGCTGTGGATTGGACTGGGTTGGAAATGGCTGAGGTTGGAGCGGTGTGGCTCTAGCTGCCGAAAATGGAGCAGGAGGGTGGAGAAGCTTAGTCTGGAAAGATGTGTGTGCTGTGCTGGGTGAAGAAAAGCAATGTGTTTTGTTATCCGTACATGAATAAACCCAGTATCATTCCCCCCCCCCTCCCCTGCTCCCCTCCTCCTTTCCCGTGCTGGCCTCGTTCAAAAGTGCCCAAAGTTTTGGTCACTGCCATGAAGGCCCTTCAAGGTTGGCCCCCTTCTTCTCCGTTTCCTTGGTTTGGTTTGTGTGCTGTGTGCCCCTCTGTTCTTCCCCGGTTGCGTTCAGGTGTTCCTGAGTTTTGGCTCACTGCCATGAAGAATAACGAGATCCTGGCAGAGCAGGTGAGCGGCCTAGTTATGCAAACGTGGGGAGAACATTGCAAACTAGGGCAGGTAATCATGGTTGCTTCTATTGTTATTATTGTTCCTAATATTATTACTACAGCATCAGTTTCATATGTTTCTAGCTTCCCATGCTTGCCATACGCGCTTTTCCAACCCGTTTTGGTACTGGGGTTTTGATTTTCCATGCCATAGTACATACTTTTTCTGTAGTGATATACTGAGTATCTGTATGTGGCACCCATTTGCCTGTCCACGTGTCTGTTTGGGATGTCAGATCACAGCGAGGGACGAGCCTGCACTGAAGCACCTTAAGGACATCCGGTGGTCGCAACTGGGGGAGGAGCTCAAGGTCAGTGCGCTGGGGTAATAACTGTCAAGTCAGACAAGGGTTTCGGGTTTGAGTGTTTGGAACCTCTCAGATTAGACGATAGGTGGCAAGAGGCGGGCGTGCTCTCAAGTACCTCTCAAGGACATCCGGTGGTCGCAACTGTGGGAGGAGCTCAAGGTCAGGGCGGGGTGGTAATGAAGGTCAGCTCGTTCATGGGCTTCGGGTTGAGTTGCTGGAATCTTAGACTGCAGCAAGTGAAAGACGTGCCTGTTCTCTCAGGTACATTGAAGATACTAGATGGTCTCAAGTGGGGGAGGAGCTCAGGGTTAGTGCGGAGAGTAATGACTGACACACACGAGTTCGGGTTTGAGGGTTTAGGGTGCCAGAGGCCTGGAGGGTTTTAGACGATTCCACTGGGATTTAGAGGGGCTTGTATGAGGTTAGGAGGTTATTTATATGTGACGGACTACGGTAACACCTCGGCCTCGTTATCCGGCTTTGTGCCACTTGTTGCATTGGATATCCATTTCTATCGCCTCTCGTTGGATATTATCTCTGTTAATCCTGTGCTGTTGTCTTTGCTCTACGATTCCAGGGCTTCAAGCTGGAGTTCCATTTCACGCCCAACCCCTACTTCAAGAATGAAGTGGTACGTCCACCATTCGCCACCCAGCCGTGCTGGGCTGGCGTTTTACTTTCGAGGTCACTTTGTCATTAACTAAAAGGAGCCAGTCTTTTTCATTGCCTCCCACATTTTTTCTAGCCCTCACACTGCCCTCCCCTCCACCACCACACCACCTTCACTCTCTGACCCACTCCTCCCAGGCTCACTTCCCGCCACCCACCCACCTGCCCCCACTCTTCCTCACCACCCGTTTACGAAGTCATACTTCGTCGCCCCTCTCCTTGCTTTTCCCAGGCTCACTCCCCCTTCCCCCCCCTCTCCCGCTCCTCACACACCTTCAGCTCATTAAGTCATACTTTATGATCAAATACGAGGAGCCAACATGTTCCTTGCCTCTCTGCTTCCTTCCCCAATTTCATCCCCCCCCTCTGTCACTCCTCCCCCCCTCCCCCACTCCCCCCCCTCTCCGTTCCCCACCACCCTTTCAGCTCATAAAGTCCTACTTCGTTGCTCCTCTCCTTTCTCCTCCCAGGCTCACTCCCTTTTTTCTTCCCACTCCACCCCCTCTCCCTCCCTATCCCCACAACCCCACCACCCCCTTCAGCTCACCAAGTCATACTTCATGATCGACGAGGAAGAGCCGATTCTTGAGAAGGCCGAGGGGTGAGTTGCTTTGCTTTCCTTCCTTTTTTGTTGCATGTGTCGGCTCTTTAGAAGGTCTGAGCGTTGCCAAGTTTATCCCTTCCTAAACAAACTGTTTGCATTGCTCTGTGCCCTTTGTTTTTTTCTTCTTTTTCCCCTCTCTCACACCCACTGTCCGTCCATTGCTCTCCGCTGCTCATTCATAAAAACGCAGCACGGAGATCGAGTGGAACGCGGGCAAGAACCTGACGCAGAAGATCATGAAGAAGAAGCCGAAGAAGGGCGCCAAGAGCAGCAAGCCCATCACTAAGACAGAGCCATGCGAGAGCTTCTTTAACTTCTTCAGCCCGCCAGCCGTGCCCACCGAGGACGAGGAGCTGGACGAAGAGGAGGTGAGCCACACACAGGGCCCCCCTTCCTTTCTCTCTCCCCTCGCCCCTCGCCCCTCTCCCTGCTACCCTCTCCCCTCTCCCCCCTCCCGTCCCCCTTACCACATTTCTTCCGCAGCCCTTCACCTTTCCTTCCGCTGCACCCCACCGTGCTCTGCACCCCCGGCACCACCTTGTTTCTCTTATTCTCACCCTCTCCTCTCCACTCCTCCCCCCGCTCTCCCCCCTTATCGTGGGGTGTGCCCGCCTAGTCTCCCTCTCTTATCGTGTCTCATTGGCTGTCTCTCTCTTGCTGCCTCCCCTCGCTTCATCAATGGCAGGCGGAGGAGCTGCAGGAGATGATGGAGCAGGACTACGATGTGGGGTGAGTTCTTTGCTTCTCTCTCTCTCTCTCTCTCTCTCTCTCTCTCTCTCTCTCTCACACACACACACACACACACACACTCATTGACTCACTGCATCACTCTCACACTCACTCTCACACTCACTCTCATTCACTCACCCACTCACTCTCACTCACCCACTCATTCACTCTCACACTCGGTCACTCTCACTCACTCACTCCCTCAACCACTCACTCTCATCTCACTCTCACACTCACTAACTCACTCACTCATACTCACTTTCTTATGTCTTATGATTCCTTTCCACCAGGTCTACCCTGAGGGAGAAGATCATTCCACATGCTGTCTCCTGGTACACCGGGGAGGCTGCTGACCTGGAGGATTTGGACGATGACGAGGATGATGAGGATGATGAGGACGACGAGGACGATGATGAGGATGAGGATGATGATGACGAGGACGACCACCCGAGGCCTGCTCGCGGAAGGGTGCGTTTTGGGTTGTGAATTTCATGAGCAACCATCTGTAGAGCCTCATTCCGGATACCATAATATCCATCTACTTTTTCAGGTTGTTACATTGCACACATCCCTGTGCCGTTTCTGTTTTTGCCATCTTTTTGTTTGGTTGTGACGTTTCTTATGTCGCGTTATTGTGTCTGACCATTGTGGCAGAAAGCAGGGACGAAGGGGATGAAGGCAGCAGGAGCAGCTGGAGCAGCAGGCGAGCAACCCCCTGAGTGTAAACAACAGTAAGAGGGTCAGAGCAGTTTTTTCTTAGAGTTGCCTCGCGGAAGGGGTTTTAGTTGTTAAGATGTTTGCTCCATGCTGTGTTATTTTTTTTAGTGACATAATTGAAGTGTTACTGTAAATGGTATGTCTAGTATATAAACCAATATTCGGAACCATATTTTCTCTCTATTGTTTCCTTTGTCCTTCGTAACAGTTCAATGAGGGGGGCAGATGTAATTGTTTCGCGAAACTTCGTCGCGCCGTTTTTGCGTGCTGGCAGGTGTGCGAGAGCGACGACGAGTTGAAAGAACGAAATTGCTGCTGAAACCAGCTTCTTGCAACTGCAGCAGTAGCTCAAATAGCAATGAAGACTCAGCAGGAGTAGTAGCAGGAGTAGTAGCAGGAGCAGCCATTGGTGTCAGGAATTCAGCGACTACAATACGTGCCGTAGCTACCTCGTGAAATACGTTCTTTCGCGATATCCGTTCCGCGTATTCCGTGTGATAGCCCTGTAATTTCCTGGTTTGTTCCGACTGAATAGGTGGAGTCGAGTGATTAGGTTAACTCCTCGTACCTTTCGAGTCGACTCAGACGGCAGCCGTTCCTCGTCTCGTCATTATAGTACCCAACTTATCAAAAGATATCATTTTACTTTTCTAGGAATTGTTTGGTGCCTTTCCTCCTTTCGCCTGGACGTGGAAAGTTCAGCTTACCGCAATCCGTTAAGTCGACATAGACGTTTCAGTTTGCCGTCAACCCCACTGCGAGAGTCGCTATAAGCGCGCCAATATGGCCGTGACGACGGGCGGTAAGGCTGTCTCGACTAACCAGTTACCATGAAAATTTCCACCACCAGCCAACACTCCATTCAACACTCCAGCCAGGGAGCGATTTTTTTGAAAATTTTCGGAAATCTGTTCTCTCCTTCAACAATCCATTTGCTCCCCTGCATCATTGTTTACCAACCCACCACCATACCCCTTCCTCGCTTCCTTCGCTCATACCCATGCCACCTATCCACCTTGTGGCCATCCGTCCCCTTCAAAAAATATTTACTCGCATCAATCCCTCCCTTTCAGCCCACCATCGCCCTCCCTCGCTCATACCCACGCCACGTTTCTGTCTGCCTGCACACCTATCCACCCCACCATCATTCATCCGGTTTCTTTAAGGCGCCTCAGAAACACCATTGCCTCCCTCCCGTCCCTCGCTCATACCCATCCCACCTGTCTACCTACCCATCTGTCCACCCCACCATCGTCCATCCCGTTTTTTTGTTAGGCGCCTCGCCCTCCCCTCCCTCGCCCGTACCCATGCCACCAGACTTCCTCATCACATTCCGTTTTCTCCACCAATCCCTTTACTCGTATCAGTCCCTCCCCATTTCAGCCCACCATACCCTTCCCTCGCTCGTACCCATTCCACCTCTCCCTCCCCTCCCTCGCTCAACATACCCATGCCACCTGTCTACCTCATCACTATCCGTCTACTTCATCAATCCCTTTTTATCCCCCTGCTGCGTCTGTGCGTGTCCTTGCACCCTCCTTCTGTCCCTCTGTCCTGTCGCTCCTTCTCCTTCTTTGCTCCCGCTGCCTTCGCTCCTCCCCCACTCCCCTCCACGCGTTATGACTACCTCCACGCGTTCCCACCTGCTTTCGCCACCTCCCGGTCTCTTCTCAGCGTGAGTTCTGTTCCATCACCCTTCACTTGCTTTCCTGCTCCGCTGTCCCCCTCTTGCCTCTTTCGTCTTCGTCCTCTTCGTACAAACCCCGACGTCCTGTCTCCTTCTCGTTCTCGTATCTCTTCCATCTCAATTTCCGCCGTCCTCTGCTCTCCTACAAGCCTCAATTCAACTCCTCTACGCGGTTCTCTCCTGTGCTGTCCACTTGCATCGCTTCACACAAGAACTGATAACGCCCGGCTCTGGGCGCGCTTGCTTTCTTGCTGTTCCCCTTCTCCGCCTGTTTCTGCTTCTGATATGCTTTTCATTCTCTTTCTACAGCTGCATAGTCCTCTCTCTCCAATCTCTCCTCACTCTTCTCTCTCCAATCTCTCCTCACTCTTTTCTCTCCACTCTCTCCTCGCTCTTTTCCCTCCACTCACTCTCCTCAGACTCGCAGGTTTGGCGTTTCTCTTCTCAGTGGGCATCGGCTTGCAGCTGCTGGGATGTGTTCTCTACAACAACTGGTGGCCAATGCTCTCAGGTACAATGCCCAATCACTGATTTTCTCCCTTACCGCCCCTCCTTCATGTTCCCCTCTCCTTGCCCCACCATCCCCGGCCCAGCATCTTGCCACCACACATGCCATGCCATGCCATGCCATGCCATGCCATGCCATGCCATGCCATGCCATCCCTCTTTTGCCTCAAACCGCAATACAGGCGCCTAAAAAATCATCCCCCTACCCAACCAACATATATGCCCGCTCGCATGTACCTGATACTACTGCCAATGATTTCGGGTACAATGCTCGCATCGCATGTCTCTGATACATGACATAGGACCTGACATTACACCCCTCTTGAGTCGTATGCCATGCCGTGCCTGTACACCCCCGTTCCTGATACTGCCAATTCGGTGCCGCTTTTTAGGTCAATGCCAAGTCTTCTCCCCACCGTCTCTTCCCCCATCTCCCCCACAGTACAACTTCCCTCCCAGCTCGGATGTGCCTGACTGCCACTGCTTGCCTCTTCTGAGGTGGAATTTGAGGCGCCTCAAAAGTATTCTCTGAGCCGCCTCCTCTTCCCCCCACTCCCCCACCGTACGACTTCCCTCCCAGCTCGGATGTGCCTGACTGCCACTGCTTCTTCTGTATTGAACCCCCCAACCCCCCTCTCCCCCCACCCCCCCACCCCTTGCCCATACATCTCTTCTCCCAGCTCTGGTGTATCTGATACTGCCCATGCCATGCCTCTTTCCAGGCCAAAAACGCACCCTCACTCCCCTTTCTGAGCCCTCCATTTCTTCCTCTCCGCTTCCTTCATAGCTTTCCTCCCCCACCATTCCCCCATGCATCATCAGCTCTCATGTACCTGATTCTGCCCATGCCATGCCTCTAATGCCTTGCCACAAACCCTCAACACCCCTCTCCACTCCTCTCTACCCCTCTACACCCCCCCAGCGCTCATGTACCTGATACTGCCCATGCCATGCCTGTTCTTTTCTACTGGTGACTCCTCCGACTTCTTTCTCATGGGCACGGATAACGAGTGAGTGGTACTGTAACGAGTGTGATTGTACTGAGTGGGGCTGTAGTGTGTGTGATGCAAGTGATTGTGGTGTGTGCGCGTAGATACTGGGCAATTCGTCATTCCATCTCTCCCTTTATCTCTCTCACCTCTGCTACCACGATTCACCCTTCTTCCTCTTCCTTCCTCCCAATCCCTCTACGTCACCCCTGTTGACCGTACTCCATCTCTCTCCTGTACCCCTTTTCTCTCTCCACCAGATGGCAAGATGCAGCCAAGTTCCTCACTGGCTTTTCTTCGGTAAGTTCGCCCTTTCCGCCCCCTCCCCCCTTGTTGCCCCCGACCCCCTTGCTTCTGTTGCCCACTGACCGCTGGACATGCAAGCAGCCAGGTTCCTCACCTCATGATTCTCAGGCCATGTTAGATGCTTTTGCCTCTTGCTACCTCTTTCGAGGTGACTTTTGAGTCGACTCAAAAGTCACCTCAGGCCATGTTAGATGCTTTTGCCTCTTGCTACCTCTTTCACCCAACCTCCAAACCTCAACCCCCTTCACATTGGCAGTGTTGCCGCTTGCCTCTTCACTTCCCTACACCACCACCCCTTAACACCCCCTCAGATTGGCAGTGTTGCAATCCCCTTCATCCTCCACCACGGTCATCTCATAACTCTTGGAGCCACTCTCTTCACACTTGCGGCCTTCATTGTGCTCAGCGGCACTCTAGTCCTTTTTATTCGGGTGTCTATGGATGATGGCCCCTCTTGGAGTGGGTATTAGGTTTGATTACGATGGGAAGCACCTCCGTGCGGTTATGATTTTACTGCATGGAAAGCTAGTGTACAGTACCTTCTTTTCTTTCCTTGTGTTATTTTCCATTCAAGGCTTCCTAAGCCACCTGGATCTGTTGTTAAGGGAGTATGGTACCTATGCTGTGAATATATTGAGTCTTTCTTTATAGAGGTAAAATTCAGTTTCTTCCCCTTCTGTGTGCAGCCTTGTGCTGTTGAGTTCAAATCTACTCTGCTTGAGATTCCTGCTAAATGTGTAGCTGAAGAATCTAATTTATATGACTAACCAACAACCAAGCGGGATGATGTGTGTTTTTGCAATGTTTATTAGATACCGAAAAGCACTTGCAACGTTCCTCACCTTCCTAAACACTGATTAAACCGTGCGCGTCTTCTTACACCTGCACATGCCGTCCTCCGTCCATGGTGTTGTTTCCAACTTCCATTCCAAACCCTTGGCCCAGGGGCAACGCGATGTTGCTGTCACCCTTGCCATATCCCGCTGGGCCGCCGCCACATTTTCTGGACCCTGATTCTCTCGCTCGACAGTGGCACGTCGTTATTCTTAATTTCTTACCCGCTTGCTAAGTCCAGTCCTTCATCTCAGGGAACACTGGGTGTAGCACAGGGGAATTAGAGCAATCGAGTCGAACTGCCATGAAGAAACACCATGATTAAACTCTAATTGTTTTGTGCTAGACCATCACTAGAAGAAGGTTAGAAATCTCATCCCCGGATCTCACGGCATCCTTTAAAGCAGCATCCGTTGCAGGTTAGCGTAATGTCTCTAGCGCTGCGCCACGTGCCATGGGCCTCGTGGGAGGAGTGGGAGGCGGTGAGGTCGAGCCTGCTGGGCCCCGCCGCTACGCGCGAATCGATATCTTTCGGGATCGACCGGGTAGGTGTACCGTTATTCCGCTAATATCCTCCCCCGTAGTAGCATTACTCGTTATCGCGTCTCGTGGGCGTCCTGCAAGGAGTGAGAGGCGGTGAGGTCTACTCGCGAGCCCATATCCTTTCGATCCGCTATCAATATCACACGCGATAGCAGACCCGCGATCCGTTATCGCATTCTGTAAGCTTGGGTCGTTGCCGCTACTCGCAATCTTGTAAGGCGCCCGTTATAGCATTAACCGTCCAGGAAAAAAAATAGGACGCGGGGAGGGAATGCGTGCTGAGACTTCTCAAGAACTAAACCCCAAACCCCGTTCCCTCCCTACACCCCACCCTTGCGGTTATCTCCTCTTTTATGTCTGTCAGGTTTGATAAATCTCAAGCAGCTAAACCCTGAACCCCTCCTTCCGCTGCACCGAACCCTTGGGATTGCCCCCACTTCTGAAAGACGACTCAAATGACGAGATCTCGATTTCTGTTCCTTCCTCCTCCCCTCCCCACCTTCCCACCCCCCCCCCCCCCCCCCCCCCCCCCCCCCCCCTCCACACCCTTCGTGGGATTCGGTCCACCCTTCGGCCTGCCAGGTGGCAGCATGGCAGATCAGGGGCCGGGTTCCGGCCTCTGTGGACGTGACAGCTGGCATGCTTGCCGTGAAGCTGCAGGACCCGGACCTCTGGTAGGCTCAGGGATGCAAGTTCAGGATGTAGGTTCGGGGGTGCAGGTCCGGAGCTGTACGTTCGGGTGACGTAGGTCTGGAATGGGTGCTGTCGGAGGGGCTACGCTCAGGACGTGTCCAGATAGTTCATTTGATTGGGGCTGAGTGAGGTGCTTTGCGTTCTAGAGCGGTTGGGAAGGGCATTGAGCGGAGAAATTTTTTGGGATACACACCAGAGAACAATATGCTGGCATTCTGGCTTTCCGGGTGGCCCCACTCTCTCCTCTCCCTCTCCCTCCCTCCCTCCCTCCTTCCCTCCCTCCCTCCCTCCCTCCCTCCCTCCCTCCCTCCCTCCTCCCTCCCTCCCTCCCTCCCTCCCTCCCTCCCTCCCTCCCTCCCCCACTCCCACTGCCGTAGCACCCCACATGGGTTTCGGGTCTAGAACCCATCTCTAGATTCCTGCCTTCCACTTTCACATTCACATGGCATGGATGGGGTTCCGACATTCATCGTGTCCCGTCCATCCCCCCTTTCAGGCCGCCCCACATGGGCTTGGGTTGGGTTTAGAATCTATCTCTAGATCCCTCCCTCCCTCCCTTCCACATGGCACGGATGGGTTCCCACATTCATCCCATTCACTCCTTCCTGTTTCAGGCCCCCCAACGCGGTGCCTCCGCTCCCTCCATTCGTGCTCCGCCAATCATATGCTGCTGTCATTATCAGGTCAGTCAGTCATCCCTAGGCTTAGTCCAACACACGCTGTGCCATCATGCCATGTCACGCGGTGCCGTTTGCCGTGGTCATCAGGTCAGCCGGTCGGTCAGCTAGCCAGCCAGTCCGTCAGTCAGCCAGTGAGTCAGTCTGTCAGTCAGCCAGTCAGTCCGTCAGTCAGCCATTCAGTCCGTCAGTCAGTCAGTCAATCAGCCAGTCAGTCCGTCAGCCAGCCAGTCAGTCCGTCAGTCAGTCCTCAGCCAGTCCGTCAGTCAGCCAGCCTGTCAGTCAGCCAGTCCATCAGTCAGTCCGTCAGTCAGTCAGTCAGTCCTCAGCCAGTCCGTCAGTCAGCCAGCCTGTCAGTCAGTCAGTCAGTCAGTCAGTCAGTCAGGCAGCCAGTCAGTCAGTCAATCAGTCAGTCAGTCAGTCAGTCAGTCAGTCAGGCAGCCAGTCAGTCAGTCAATCAGTCAGTCAGTCAGTCAGTCAGTCAGTCAGTCAGTCAGTCAGTCAGTCAGTCAGTCAGTCAGTCAGTCAGTCAGTCAGTCAGTCAGTCAGTCAGGCAGCCAGTCAGTCAGTCAATCAGTCAGTCAGTCAGTCAGTCAGTCAGTCAGTCAGTCAGTCAGTCAGTCAGTCAGTCAGGCAGCCAGTCAGTCAGTCAATCAGTCAGTCAGTCAGTCAGTCAGTCAGTCAGTCAGTCAGTCAGTCAGTCAGTCAGTCAGTCAGTCAGTCGGCCAGCCATAGCAAACCACACACTGCGTACACACTGGCACAGCATGTGTATTCGCATGTCTTGTACCATTTGCATGTGATGTGAGTGCCGAGCGTTTCTGTGCAGCAACCTGATTCCTGCCACATGTAGGGTTGTATTCAGGAGGATCTATGAGTGAATATGTGTGGTCATGAGCTGTCATGAGTGGTCAGGAGGGGTCATGAGTGCTCATGAGGGGTCATGAGTGCTCATGAGGGGTCATGAGGGGTCGTGAGTCATCTTTCCTTCGTTTTTTTTCTTAGTAACTTGTTTTTTGTACTTCCCACACTTCTTTCATGCCCTGCCACGTGTAGGTTTGTGAGTGGTCTGTGTGACAACCGCAATCCAGCCCTGGGTCGGTCAGTGGTAAGGGTGGCGGCACACGTGGGAATTCCGCGACTGCTGGTGGACGTGCGGCATTGTAAGGCTGGCACAGTATATGTGGGTGATGAAAATTTCAGTGGTATGAGTTAGACTTCTTTTGGTCGGCTTCAAGTACGGCTGGTAGGCGTCAGTCAGGCACTGTAAGGCTGGCATAGTATCAGTGGTTGATTTCATGATTTGTTTTTTTCCGGTGTAATGAATAAGACTTCTTCTGATTCGACATAAAGTACTGCTGCTAGACGCCAGGCACTGCACTGTAAGGCTGGTGGTCTCAGCAGCGCAACACTCCGCTCCGCTACACCGTGGCAACTGTGGTCCACCCACCAGCCTTGCCTTGCAGTTACTAGAGTGGAATGGAGTCCATTCCGACACAGTTTGATTTGAACAGTCACTTTGACACTGGTTGCCACCGTCAGTATTGAATCTCCCCGTGCACCTGCTTCCTTTCCTTCCAATTCCCGTCCCCATTCCCCTTCTCATTACCCTTCCGCTCCCCCTTCCGCTCCCCCTTCCCCTCCCCTTTCTCCTTCCCCTCCCCTTTCTCCTTCCCCTCCCCTTCTCCTTCCCCTCCCTTTCTCCTTCCCCTCCCCTTTCTCCTTCCCCGTTCCCCTCCCCAGCGCTGGCCCACAATCGCCTGCTGCAGTTGCCGGTGCTGCGACTGGCTGTCACTCAGGTGAGAAGGAGAAGGGGGGGGATTTGTGGCGAGTGGTTGAGATGTGAGAGAGGAAGTAAGAGAGTCAGTGCAGGAGGAAGGGTGGGATGCAGGAGGAAGGGTGGGAAGCAGGAGGAGTGGGAGGGAGGACAGGGAGAGAGGGAGATAGGGAGGGGAGGAAAAAGAAGGGGCGTTTTCCTGCTGCAGCTGCTGGTGCTGCGACTGGCTGTCACTCAGTTTGGGAGGGAGGGTGCATTTGGTTCTCAAAGACGATTTTTGAGATGTCTTAAAGAACGTGTTTTGAGACTTCTCAGAGCATATGGTTCTTGGAGACGACTTTTGAGACGTCTTAAAGCATATGGTTCTTGGAGACGACTTTTGAGACGTCTTAAAGGACGGAAGGGACAGATGAAGCTGCTCTGTTCCTCTTCCCTTCCCCCGCTTTCCTTGGTCCATTCTCACATCTCCACACAGGCCATAGGCTGGCTAGTGAGCAACTACTGGAGCAGGCAGGCGGCCATGCTAGCAGCAGGCAACGAGCACTTAGCACACCTATCTTTATCATTCTACCCTTCTCCCTACCCTCTTCCCTTGTTCTCCATTCCACCCCAGGCGCTGGGCTGGCTAGTGAGCAACTACTGGAGTAGGCAGGCGGCCATGCTAGCAGCAGGCAGCGAGGATGCAGAGGGAGGAGCAACACACACACACACTCTCTCTCATTCCTCTCTTTCCCCTTACCTCCCCTTCTCTCCTCTCTTTACCCCAGGCCCTGGGGTGGCTCGTGAGCAACTATTGGAGCAGGCAGGCTGCTATGCTGGCGGCGAGCAGCGAGGATGCGGAGGGCAAGTTCTCCTCCTTCAGACGACTCATTGTCTGTTACCACCACCACTGCCCGCTCTGCTGCCCACGCTCTCATTCTCATTCTGCCCCTTCCCCTTCCCCCTTGTTCTCACCCCAGGCTCTTGGTTGGCTCGTGAGCAACTACTGGAGCAGACAGGCGGCCATGCTGGCGGCAAGCAGCGAGGATGCGGAGGGCAAGTTCTCCTCCTTCAGGCGACTCTCTGCCACCACCAACACTGCTGCTGCCCGCGCTAATGCCAATGCTAATGCTAAGCGCAGCTTTCCTGCCAGCCCCAAACCTGCTGCTGCCGGTGATGCTGCTGCTGCTGCTGCTGGTGGTGGGTGATGCTGGTGCTGCTGCTGATTCTGCTGCTGCTGACTCTGCTGCTGCGACGTTGGCGTTCGCAGCAGCGTCTGAGCCTGATGATTCGATTATGGTGGGGGAAGCACATGCAGCACCCGGCCAGGCAGAGGAACGCGCAGTTGAGAGAGTTACGGAGGTTGTGCAGAGCGGTCCATGGGCGATTTCGCCGCTCTGCTGCTGAGGCAGCTTAGGAGAGTCGTGAATGCTGCTTATAGCGCGGATAAGGGTGGTTTTTGGCGGTGTGGGTGAGGAAAGTGGGGCACAAACGGGGGGAGGGAGGGGGAGGGGAAAGAGGGGAAGATTTGGAAGGGTTAGAAGAGGCGGTTTGGGAGGTGTTGGATCATATAAGAGGGTTACCAGCTGCGTTACTGTCACATATAGTGAATGAGCTTATAGCGGTGGTTGTGAGGGGCGGGAGCAGGGGGGTGGGTGGTGAGGGGAATGAGGTGTGGACGGGTGGTGAGAGGATGTGTGAGGGGATGGGTGGTGGGGGAGAGGATAGGGAGGGGGTGAGAGGGGAAGGGGGATGGAGGGATGAGGAGGAGTGGAGGGAGATTATGCAGTGTTTGGAGTGGTTGCTTATGGAAGGGGAGTTGGAGGAGGAAGAGGGGGAGGAGAAGGGGGATGGACAGAGAGGAGGGATGATAAAGGCAGTGCAAAAAGTGTGGTGGGGAGACAGTGCGGAGGGCCGGGAGGGAAGGAGGAGGAGGAGATGGAAGAGGGGGGGAAGAGGAGGAGGAGGAAGGGGACGTGGAAGGGGAAGGGGAGAAGAAAGGACAATTTTATGGGGATAGGATGGAGGACGGATCAGGTGGGGAGACAGAACAAGAGGCTGAAGAGGAGGGAGAAAGGGGAAGAGGAGGATGAAGAGGAGGAGGAGGAGGAACAAGAGGAAGAGGAAGAAAGGCGACGAAGATGAGGAGCTCAAAGAAGAGGAAGACTGGGGGGAGGAAGAGGACGATATCGATTTCGATCTGGGTGGCACAGACCCACCAACACACAGGACCTCATCACAACGACTCGTCCCCATCGCACGGCAAGTGGTTCCCTCTGCCTCTCCTCCCCGCTTGCGCCACGCGCTGCCTGCACGCCCTCCCCTCCTGTCCCCGCCTGCCACATGTGCTTGCTGACGTGGCACTTGCACTCGCTGACCGGATGATCCAGAAGGAAGAAGAGGAGGGGGACGAGCGGAAGGGGAAGGGTGGATGTGGAGGAGATGGGTCTCAGGGAGGTAGATCTGGTGGAGGCAAGAGTAAAGGAGGGGGGGGAGGGACGAAAAGGAGCAAAGGGAGGGGGGCGGAGATGAGCTGGCGCATTCAGCAGCTAGTGAGGCACGGGTTGGTGGAGTGGTGGGAGGAGAGAGGGGCAGGCAGGTCCTGCTGCTGGCTCTGCTGGTTACCCTACTATCGCGCCTGGTGTGGGTTACATGTGACGGTGGTGGGGTAGCAGCAGCGGGTGCATTCCTGTTTCCTGGTTGGGTCATTCGCAACGGTTGAGAGAGATTCTGGTGACGAGCGGTGACGTGCCTTATGGCGAGCGGTTGCGTTAGAGGGGGATTTGCTCGCAGACAATGCACTGGAAGTGTGGGGTGGAGGGGGGTTCATGGGTGACGTGCTGGTATGAGTGAGCAGGGCTTGGGGCTCAATGGAGGGACTTGGCGTGCAAAAGAGGGGTTTGAGACGGCTGGAAAAGCAGGGGTTCATAGTGCAAAACGAGGAGGGGAAGTGGCGGAGAAGCAGAGAGGTGGGCGGGGGAAGCAAAGGCGAGGGGGAAAGGGAGTGGGAGCAGGGCAGGGGCAGGGGAGGGAGAGGGAGGAGAGAGGGGGACAAATGGGGAAGCGGGAGGAGGACGTGAAGGAGTGGGGATATGGGGGTGCGAGGAGGAGGAGGCAGAAGTGGAGGAGGTGGAAGGGACAGATTTCGAGGAAGGAACTGAGAAGCTTCTGAGGGAGATGGAGAGGGAACTGAGTACAATCGAGCAAGTGGTTCGGGCGAGAAGTGGCACGGGGCATGGAGTTGTGGTGAAGAGAGGGGTTGTGGTTGTGGGGACAAGAAATAAGGAAAACGGGAGAGGGGAGATTGGAAAAAGGGAGGTAGTAAAAGGGGGGAGGGGGAAGAGGAAATGGGGAGGCGGAACAAGAGCGGCTGGCAAGAAAGGGAGGAATCTTGTTGAAAGGAACCTTCCCAGAATTAGGTGGAGGGTTGCGGCTAACTGGGTGCCCTGTGCTGTGGGCACCATGCCGTCCCTAGCTGCCAGCTCCGGCGTTCTCCCGAACCTGGAACCGCCACTCTCGAGGCTGCGAGGAGGTTCGGCGCAGGTCCGGGCTGGGCGTTCGGTCCGGATGGAGGTTCGGGTGGGCCAGGTCCGGATGAGAGAGAGTGGGAGATTAATGGGGTTAGGGGGGTTAGAGGGGAAGGGGACGATGCAGAAATAGTGGAAAACGGAGGAGAGGTGGTATCTGGTGCTGCTTTTGGTAGTGGTGCTGGTGGTGCTGGTACTGGTGAGGAGATGAGTGCGATAGCTCACTTGGAGCAGGCTGCAAGGACTGCATTGTTGGGAAAAGCAGCAGCATCAGTGGCAGGGGCAAAGATATCCGGTGCAGCAACGCTAACAGGTGAACAAGCGGAGGCAGAGGCAGATGGGGTGGGAGCTGCTGGGGCGAGTGGTGACCCTGTTGCTGCTTCAGGATATGATTGGGCAGCTTTGAAACATTCAATTGCCTTGATATGACCACACAGTTATCGGATTAGTTTTCTTCTTTTTCTACTTACCAGTACCATGTTCTTGTTTTCTACTTGCCAGTACGTTCAACTATTGAGGTTGTAATTTTCTGGAGTGTACCGCATATGGGAGGAGATGGTACACTAGATTATAAAACATAGAAGATTGTAGCAGCCACTGCTGCTGCCACTCTTTCTTTATGTCACCAGGGTTGGTTGCCGATTGCATAATCAATAAGCACAAGCAAGATGCTCTTAATTCATAAGCACAAGCAGGCAGCGGTTTCCCACACAAGTTGGGGTTCCCTGGTTTGAAAGAGCCTCGATTCAGCTTGCTCAGAGCAGCCGGAACAGCCCCTGACAGCCGGTTCCCTGCCAGCAGCACTTGCCGTACCTTTGCCGGCCAAGCTGCGGGAATGGAACCCGTCAGTTTGTTAGATGCCAACCCTAGTCCTCGCAGCTGCTTCATATTGCTCACACCTGCTGGGATCGGCCCCGTGAGGTTGTTTCTATTAAGGCCGAGGCCCTTGAGGCGAGTAAAGGAGCTGATTGTAGCGGGGATGGGGCCGGAGAGGCTGTTGAAGGAGAGGTAAAGATGGGCGAGGGAGGCGGAGCAGGAGGGGGAGGAGAGTGGGGTGGGCGGGCCGGAGAGGGCGTTGGAGGCGAGGCTGAGGAAGGTGAGGGCCTGCTTGCCCTGGCAGAAGGCGGGGATGGGACCTGTGGGGTGGGGGGATCAACAAGGAGAGAAGAGACAAGGGGAGGAAGAAACAGAGTCGTTGTAAGATGCATTGAGGATTGGAACCTGTGGGATGGGGGATGAATATTGAGAGAGAGACAGGGAGTGGGAATGAGAATCCTGAAAAATCAGTTTTATGGTTGGGGAAATCGGGGCTTGACGGGCCTGGCACGAGGCAGGGATGGGACCTACAGAGGAGAAATACGGTGTGGAGCAGGGAGAGGAGGGCGGGAAAGCATGAAGAAAGAGTGGGAAGGTTATGTTACAAGCGTGAAGGAATGTAAAGGGCATGCTGACTTTGCTAGAACAATAGGGGCAAGGGATGGGAGGAAAGTACATGGAACAAAGCAGACACAAGTGAGGAGTGTGTGGTGTAACTAGTCCTCCTCGAAACGGTAGACTACTTACAGGTGGATTCCCTGCTAGTTACCTGTGAGAGCGTTTGTTCCGAGGTCCAAGTAGCTTAGCTGGGGTAAAGTGGTGAGACCCTGGGGAATACCCCCTGTAAACTTGTTGAATCCCAGGTCCACATGAATGATTCCCTTGGGCAGGTTTGAAAACGGCTGCAAGCTGCCCGAGAAATTGTTGTGGCTTAAATAGAGTTCTTCCAGAGAATTCTGGGCTTGAAACAGTTCCCTGGAACGGCTCCGGTCAGGCGATTGCGCGAAAAGTCAGCTATTGTAGGGCTGTTTGGACGGCACAAGATCTGCGGAAAGGAGCCCGAGAACAATTCTCTGATACGTCGATAAATCCTAGGACTCGCTGAACTGAATCGTGTTGAAGTTCCCGGCCAGCCGGTTCTGGCTTAAGTTAATCATCATTTGGGCTTTTATTTGCAACCCGCTCAGGTCACCGGAAAGCTTGTTCCGATACAAGGTAAGCATCCACCAATCCCTTTCCAGCAGGGCAGGTGGAATGATCCCAGACATCGCGTTCGTGTTCCAAGACAACCCCGCAAGTTTCGGTAGAGTTGCGAGAGCAGTAGGAACCTGCCCAGACAGCCAATTTTTTCCGAGATCCAGAATCTCAAGTGAGCCCCATCCGGCGTACGCAGCAGCACGTTGCGGTAACTGCCCGGAGAAGAAATTATGCCTTGCGATCAGGACTTGAATTTTTGGCAGGCGAAAAAAGGCAACGGGAAGAGGACCAGCGAAACAATTATTGTCAAGGTCGAGAGTCTCGAGTTTCGTTAGCCGGGAAAGGGATCGTGGGACCGAGCCGGCAAGCCAAAGGTTAAACATATACAGCTCCTCAAGTTCCGTTAACTGGCCGATAGATTCGGAGAGGATCGCAGGGAACTGTCCTCCGGGGTCGCGCGCTGTACGATCATCGCGAAAAGGGGAAGTGCGAAAAGCAACTAAAATACACTCGCCCGCAACTTTCCTGATATTTTTTGCCCGGCGCTTTCAAGTCAAGGTTTTAGAACTGCATGGCGACAGTCACTTACAAAGCACCTCCCAGGCACTGTTCCGTCCTCTAACTGTACACATTGGGGCAACTGACCAAGTATACAGTAA